TGCCGCCTGTACCAATTTCCCCGTGTCACAGGGTGGAGAAGCTAATGCCCACATGCCTCGGAGATACCCGGGGAGGGAACTCATCGGTGCCCATTTGACTCCGAGCTCCGGCATTTTTAGGACACCATTTTGCAAGATCCTGAGCTGAAAAGAGACACCTCGCTCAGGAGAAAAAAACAATCCCAGGAAAGAAGGGAAAAACCCGCCCAACCAATTGCTTTCCAGCCCAACCCGGTGCCCCGGAGCGGCTGCCGGAAGCTGGCGAGGAGCAGGAGCAGAAGTGACTCCACCGGCAAACGCACCGCAGCGGCTCATGGTGGGCAGGTACCAGTGGAGGGAAGCCACGCGCGTGGTGAGACGGGCTGTCCTCAAAGCCGCGCTGCAAGACCGGGGGGCGAGGGGCAGGCTGGGGGAGCCCTGGGTTGGGCCGGGCCGGGCCGGGCCTCCCCCTGCAGGGAAGGGAGTAGGGGCTGGGGAGCGGCTGTGCCAAGGGCCTAGCCTAGGCAGCTGGGTGCCCAGCAGTGGCCCCGATTTCCCCACCCAGAACCAGCCGGCGGGGTGAGCCGCAGCCCCGATGCAAATGAAGCGCCGGCTTGGTTTATGCGTTATGAATATGCATGTGTTTATTTGCGTTGCCGGCTTCGCTCAGTTGCCTCCGTTTTCCAGTCCTGCTCCATCTGCACCCCCCGCGGCCGGGCCCGGAGCCTCCGGGCTGACGACGGGCAGCACCTGGGGGCGCAGCTAAGCTGGGGGCTGGAGCCATGCCCTTGCACGGCACCGAGTCCCTCTCCTCGCGCCCCTCGGAGCTTGCGGCGTAGCTGGCACAGCGGTCCGGGGCTCGCCCCTGCGCCTTGCGGGGGCTGGCCGGAAGCCCCCGGCCTCCGCAGGGGCAGCGCGGCTCCAGGCCTAGTCGCGGCTCCCGGAGCGGAGAGCGGGCCCCGGCGGGCTCCCCCGTCTCCTCCTCCCTGGCTGGGGGGGGCCGCCCCACCGTCTGCCCGCGCC